ATCATCATAGATGTGTATAGATGTGTGTGTGTATATATATATATATATATATATATATATATATAATGAGTTGATCAGTTGGATGTTGCAGGGTATCATGGCGAAAAAATTATTTTGAATGGGTGCCGTGGTCTTGTTTAGAAACCACTGATCTAGATAACTATACAGTGAGTTCCTTAGCTAAATATCTTAACTACTAAATGGGAATGAACACCGACACAGACGCGATCCTTCTCTTTTACATTTTTAAATCTAAATGAAAAAATGCACATAATTAAAAGAGCACATCATTTCAAAATTGCCTACATTTGCGCATAACTAGTCATTCAATATCAATTATCAAAATCATCAATAGTAATCAGTTGCCTTGGTTCAGAGGATGTAACATTTCTGCTGCATCTAAAAGTAAACATCACACCCGCCTGTGGTTTTGTTAAATATAACTTGTGTTGTTTGAAACTAATTTAATTAATTTAATCTAAACTAACTGCAATGATGTGGTTGTTGTTCTCAGGGCTGGTTAAAGAAACGTTCCCCCCAGGAAGCAGATGTGCTGAGGGAACTCTTCTCTTCCTCCTTTTCTGAGCTCTATCGCTTCTGTGTACAGTCACTAGAGTTCAAGATGGACATGCTAGAGGCCTTTGTCATCATGCAGTGCATCAACATGCTGCAGGGGCTCATACCACCAAAGGTAAGGTTACAACTGTTCTGAATTCCCATTCAAAGGACAAATAGCACTCAGAAAAGCCCTTACTGTATATCTGTATATGTTTAAGATGTTAATTCATGCTTCCAAGAAATGACTGCTGGAGTAAAAAAGGCATTTGAATCATTTGCTGTTCTAAGACAATCCCAACAGTTTGAAGCTAATGGATCTGTAATCCATCAAATACTTCTATTACTTTAGATTGTGAAACAATAACAAAAACTTGGTATAGAAAGAATGAAAGAACCATTTTTACACAGTTTTTAATCACATAATAATTTCAGAAGGAAAGCCAAATTGACATCACCAACAGAGTTATAAGAGCCCAAATTATGCCACTTATGTAATTATTGTAGGGCATAAACCAGCAGAAATATTTGAAAAAGATCATTGACAAAGGTCATTGGGGTGGATGCATAAATTACAATAGGAGTAAAATTGATTAATAATAATTAGTTAATGCATGGTCCAGTGGTTTAGTAGCTTTATTTTAGATGAGAGAATTGTTTTTCCCTTAATTTCAGTTAATTGTTTGAGGGTCCTTGAAACTTTGCGTTCGGGTTGAGATTACCTTGTAGGCATCTATTGTGACCTTGTTAGATGCTATATAGGTTGGAACCCCATCAGTGTTATTTTTTTTTACTCTTTTCAAAGTTTGCTTGTTTGCACAATGTCATTGATCTAAAATAAGTGTTACTTTACAGGAGCAGTGTGGTGAGTTATCCAGGGAGCACTTGGAGCGGCTGTATGTGTTTGCTCTAATGTGGAGCACTGGAGCCTTACTTGAATTGGACGACCGCAGAAAGATGGAGATCTGGCTCAGAGGGAATGACAGTATCTGTCTAAACTTGCCAAATGTTCCTCCTGACAGTGAGGACATCATGTTTGACTACCACGTCACAGCAGATGGTATGCATGCATTGATAAACAGATGTTATCACCTGGAGGTTAAATGTCCAAAGGAATATCAAAGCTGTTTCTTGACAAGCAGAGCCTTTATGCCTCATGTTGCATATTTAATCAATGGGAAGACAACTTGAAAGTGTCACTGTCATATTTTGTGTTAATCTCTACACCACACTTTATCTTTTTAATGTGTACACATTTATTCTTCTTCCAGGACAGTGGGTCCACTGGAGCACCATAGTGGAGGAGTACATTTATCCATCTGAATTCACCCCAGAGTACAGCTCCATCTTGGTCCCCAATGTGGACAATGTTAGAACAGACTTCCTAATTCGGACCCTCGCCAAGCAAGGCAAGGTGAGGTTTGCAGAAAGAAAACAAAAATAGTATATATTGCTTGTCCTTCAATTTAAAAAATGAAAGACTACATCCGTTAAGAGAGTCATTATAACTCATGAGTTTCAAAGTATCAAATAGCTCTAAAAAAAAGTCTTCTTGATGTGTTGATATGATGTATGTTTTTATTGACTGAAACGTTGATTCATTTTTCAGAATAAGAATCAGAAATATTTTAATAATCCCAGGGGGAAATT